ATGCCTGCAACATCGACGTCATAGGGACAGACCGTAGGAACAAATTATAGTTTTCATAGTGATAAATAATAATAATTTTATTACTTATAACGCGCAAATTCGCATATGTATATATGACTTTACTCAAGTTCAGACCAAAAGATACACGTGTATCTTATAACCATGTCGTGACTAGTAATGTCATTCGAATTTTTTTCTTGCATTGCGTATCATTCCATGAAAAAATCTCAAAAGTTTAGATACACACATTTTTTTCTCCAAATGGCGTATGACCAGAAAATAAGCTTAACACTCCGCTCGAATCTCATAGCTAGACGTTTAGGAACCAGTAATTATTAAGTGTGCCTCGGATTTATTTATATATTTGATCTAGAACAACAAACCTACGCAATTGTTACCTTGATCAATCCAGAGTCTCTCTCATCGTTCAGATTCTTAAAAACGCATTGTTTCCAATTACGTCCAAACGATCCTGGAGCACCCTTGGGACCTGGGGGACCTTGACTTCCACGAGCACCTGTATCACCCTTGTTTCCATGGGAACCAGCTGCACCTGAGGGTCCTTGAGGTCCCTTGGGGCCAGGGGGACCTTGCTTTCCACGAGCACCTGTATCACCCTTGTTTCCAGGGGAACCAGCTGAACCTGCTTCACCTTTGTCCCCACGTGGACCTGCTGGGCCTGCAGGTCCTTTAACTCCTTTGACGCCTGGAGGTCCCTGTCTTCCACGGGCTCCTTCATCGCCTTTCTTTCCTCGTGGGCCCATGGGTCCTTCAGGTCCATGATTGCCGGGTGATCCCGCGACACCTGCTGGTCCCGCGGGTCCAGGGCTTCCTGGGATGCCTGGAAATCCTGGTGCACAGAAACACCCACCATGACCACAGGAACCATAAGGTGAAGTCTTTTGAGGAATACTCTAAATGAAAAATTTAAAAATTCATTCCGTTATAAATTAATGATCAATTGATTAAATCAATCAATTAAACTCAGTCAAGCATCCTTAAATAAAAAAATCACTGTTCATTGATTCTACCCAACTAAATTCTTTCAGGTCATTAGTTCAGCTACCATTGACTGACTTTCACTTCTCATATATTACTACTATATATTACAATGTTTGTTTAAAAAACACACCTTGTCACGTGGTTTGCTGCTGTTGTTGTCATTTGCAGAACACAAGGTAATCAGCAGTAACAGCAGCCCGCATAACACAGTAGCCAGCGGTATCTTCATAGAGGTTTGCATGATGAGAAAACCTGTGAAAACAGGAGTACGCTCAAAATTATGGCCAAATATTCCTAAAAAAGGCATCACTTTCAATGATTTGCTAACATTTTTTTTTTAAAAATGGGGATAACAAGCAACGCGAATTGATGATCTGTGGCGAAGTTATTGTTTGTTTTGGAGAGAAAAAAAATCAGTTTATTCATCAATTTCAGGCCGACTTTTAGCATTACTTGAGAAAATTACCATGTCCTTGCAATTTTATGTCGGACTTACACGGACGCTTAAAACTCTTTGAAATTTCGTTGAAACGCTCGCTTAAGATTTTACCGCTTATGATAGAACGTTAGCGACTGCTAGGCAATATTCAAACAAAAAAACACACACGCACAACAAAACAAGGCTAGTAGCAGTAAGCCTTACATTGAATATTTCGTGAAAAGTAACAGTTCAAATTGAAACCAGACTGAAAAGACCTCCAAGCAATAGTTTAAGTAAACTAAGTATTGTAGTTTGATACGTGTTGGAAATATTGACTCAAGTCCTACCTTAATTGCTTGTATGAACGACTGTAGTGATCCCAAGACGAATGATAAATTTTTTAACATTACCAAGGATTTTATGTCCTATTTTGACCAATTTTACAAAAAACGTGTTTTAGACAAGTTTGAAAGATTGTTAAATGTAAGTTACTAGAGGTATTCCTATTTGGTTACATGTAAATCAGCCAGTCTTAATTGACCCGCAACTGAAAGGAGTCATGTACTGCTTTTGTTTTATTTAAGTTGCAAGTTAAAACGAGTTGGAAGGCTCCATGACGTTAAACAATTATTTTGGAAACTGGCCAATGATAAGAACTGTTTTAAACTTCCTTTCAGATACAAGTTGAACCAAGTTTGAAGGGCACTGACTTGTTAATTTAACGAGCTATGGAGACAATCGGTCTCATTAATATCTGCACATGTAATTTTTTGAAAATTTTGTACGCGACAAATTTGCCATTCAAAATATTTATCAGTGTAACTGTTCTTAAGACTCTTTGGAGGCTATTCAGTAAAAACCCGCGACTAAGAAGCTTCATTTTCCTAAGTTAGCCTAAACAGGTTCTTACATAAATGGTAATTAGCGCAAAGTTTAGGCTATTTCGGTTCTTAAATAGGTTCTTGATTGATTTTTTGAATAAAATAATATATTGTAACTAAGACTATTTTATTGTATTCGGCTTCTTCCTTACATAAAATCACCGCATACCAATACATTCCAGTTGGATTGCTGAAGCACCTATGTCTCGGCCAAACGGAGATATGAATGTTGACTTTTTTTATTTGCCCATATGTACAAAATTTTTTTAAAACATTTTAAAATTAGAACCTGTTTCAAATTTTAGGCTAAAACGGCTCTTGTGTAGAGGGGCCTAACTGACACAGACAGTGAAATTCTCGAAAGACATCCTGTTTTTTTTTTCTTAATCTTATCTCTGATTCTTTTGATTCCTTGAAGTAGCTCAGTCAGTTCTGGAAAATACCCTTTACTGGATTTTTGGTACAAATCCAAAACTACTGCAACGCGCTTTGTTGTTGGACTGACCATCGTATATTAACTGATTAACACTATCGATAGCTAGCTTTAAAACATTTGAAAAATCCGAAAAATTCTCTGTACAGTGTGCAAGCACCGTTTAAGTGAAAGAATTTTAACTGATTTCACTCTCGAGAGTGACGCTAATACAGATCACGAGAGGCTTAATTTTGGGAGGATTAATAAGTTTTCTGAGAAGAACACGTTTCTTAAAATATTCGCTTTTTGACGACGGAGTCGTCGAAAAGTCGACGGAGATATTCTTCAAAACTTCACACTGACACGGTTTATTATGAGGCATTCAACTTACCTCTTAGATTTCCAGTTGCATCACCCACAGTGTCTCAGTGGACAAATCAATGGAATGCAGAGAAATAGGAAAATTGTGATTAATACGTAACGTAACGTTTGAAGAATCCATGGTTAAGTAAAAATATACAAACCTACTCTGTTCGTTTTTAAGCCTTAAAATTCTTGTCTTGTCTTTGTTTTTCCGACCATTTTGTGATATTCATGAATCATTCTATCCTCGTAGAAACAAGTTTAGAGAACATTGTACCTATGTTCCAACGAGCAATGCCATTGGCTGTAGTGTTTCTTTTGTCAGCGATTCATCCAATGAAATGGCATCTTTTACTGTGAGCCACAGCATAGATGTAAGGTAACCATGGATCTATTACCCTGGACTTGGAAAAAAGGAAGAAATTTCCCTGTTTTTGTAATTATTTATTTAGTTTCTTATTTAACATTGATAATGCACTCTCGTTGTCTCTTTACGACCGGAGGAACTGAAATTTATAGGAGATTATTAAACGAAATACCTTTCTCAATTTTCTTTGGTTTGAGACGCAAATTATTGAGTGAAAACACTTTTCATAACTAAATGTAAACGAAATGAAAGATCCGAAAGTCGTGGAACTTCTAAATCTTATTACACGTTCGCTCTCCTCAAGATCTGCTTCAAAATTCACACATAACCCGAAATCTCTCTGTAACAACCCATCTACTGAAGATTTTTCGTGCTCGATGATATATATTTTCTGTCCTTTTATTGGACTACTTTTCTTCTAATATTTCTTTAGATTCTGACCCGTTCATTTTTCGTCTTACTTGGCGACGTAACCCTTTCTTGGTTAAGAACGCATAGTAATATGTATTGGGATGATGGTTTGGGTAAAACTGAGGAAAAAAGACTACGAACATGTATGGATTTTATGACGCGTGGCTCATTTTGTATCAATCACTTTAATTTCTAGTTCCGATCAGAATACGTCGAGTTTTGAAAACTGGGCTACATTCAATTGTTCTTTTTAACGACTCTTTTATTTTCTTTTTGTTTTATCTTTGATTGGACACATGGTCAACTTCAGTCTTGATTTATACGTTTGAAATAGATAACCCATAGAAATTGTACATTTTTGTATTCCGAAGTTGAAAATTAAAAATGTAAAATCGAAATGACATTGAAAGGAATCGGAAACTGATGCGAATGCGGTTTCTACACGATTGCATTGAGAAATCTGTAGTAAGAACAGACTAGATAACTGACTAGAACAGAGCAGACATTTATAGGCTCCGTCGACGTTTCATCATGCAAAAACTATTGAATACATACCTTCCAGTAATCCGGCATTTATCAAGCGTTCGTCTTCTGGCGGAAAATTCACGGGTCAATCGTGAGCAAAGGGACGGCAGTGAATTAACCTACATGTAACTTCTGGTTGAGCGAGACGTGGATTTTTCAAGCCATCTCGCTTATTACTGTTCAGAGCAATCAGTGAAGTACAGTAGAATCACGATTTCTCGAACTCTCTGGTTTTTTTTAAATTCCCGATATTTTGAACCAAACCTAAATTCCCTTCACCAGTCAAACACAGTAGTTTTACCCCGGTTCTTCAAACGTCCCGATATTTCGAAGAAATTTGCTTCTTTTGTAATTAAAGCAATTTTCACTTTGTTTCCTACGCATGCATAATATAATTTTTCTCGTCAGACCATGTTTTACAAAACATTGATTTCGACTGGGGTAGGGAGGAGAGAGGTGGTAGCGAGAAGCAAAGGTTCGGTAAGGTGCAGGGAGGGTGATGTGGGAATTTAACTGTGTTCGATTTCTGTTTTATAGTAACTTTATCATATGGTGAAGACGGCCACTCCAAGAGCAGTCTGGGTTTTACGAGTAGACCTGACCTGGATTGTACATATAGTATACTTGTTTTACTAATGACGCCAGTGAAATGTGCTCTTCTTCGCATTTCTCTTCGGTTACCGCAACTTTGTTTTCTCTTAAGGCGAAACTCATTTCAAGTAACCTAAGAACGATATCATTTCAAACAGGACCCAGTCTAAAATTGTCGTCGTTTCTGCCTGTCGCGAGTTGCATGCTTCAGTGGGTTTGTAGTATTAGAGAGTTTTAGATCCGAGTTTACCGCGAACCTCTAACCGCGGTTTGCGGTTACCCGTTTGCGGTTCGACGTTCAAACATAATTCGATTTAGATTGGCGGTGGATTAAACAAGTGGATTCTGGTTTATTTTTCCATTTAGAAATAGAAGAAAAATTAATCAGTGAAAATAAAAGAAATTTACGGCAACACTGGGTTATCTAGCAGCAAAGAGCTGTAAATTCTTACATTAGTTCTTCTTGCAATTTTACGGCCGCCATTTTGAATCAGCAGCCATGAATGGCACTTGTTTTCAAGATCCAATAGGATTTATCAAATTTAGCATTTCGCCCGAATTTGTGCCTCTGTTAATGTATAAAGACTTGCTCCACAAGATTTTTGTATCATTACGTGGGATGAAACAATAATTATACGCTAAAAGCTTTCAGGTAAATGAAATACGTGAAAACCCAGCTCCCCACGTTGAAAACGCACGTTGTAAACCTCAAACGTGACGCGAAAGACTTGTCACGTGACCTCCAGCGGTTAGAGGTTCGCGGTAAACTCGGATCTAAAACTCTCTATTAATTCCCAATTTAAACGTGGCGAGTTCTCGATTAAAGCCTTCTCAAAACATTCAAAACGCAATATGGTTTTCACAGTCATGCCCTTTAGTTTTGTAAATTTCATCTTCTAAGATAGCCGGAGAAACTAGGAATAACATCATGATACGCGAGTTAGTTAACCGTTCTTCCAAAATTTTCGAATTTTACTAAAAAATTTACTCAAAATAATTGGATGCGGAAGTCATATTCATGGTCTGTGTGTTTGAAAATTGAGCGTGTTATTTGTTTAGTTTGAAGCACTGATGTAAAATTTGCATTCTTGAAACATACCCTTAGGCAAAACGTTGACTACTAGAAAAAAAAAATTAAATAAACTGACTGACACTGCTTTGGAGGAAATATTTTTCATGCCACATGGTGTCTGCTTGTATCTTTGATAGTAAAAAAAAAGCGTGCGTGGACCTCTGTTGGCCGACCAGGGTCTGCTCAGTGCCCTAAATTATACTGTAGTTTCAATTTGAAAAATTCAATTTTCCAGAATGAAATAGCTTTGTGGCATAATACAGGACCCTTCTCAATTGAACATAAACCGAAACTAATATCCAGTTCCTCCAGAACCATGCAAATGTTAAATGTAATTAAATGTCGTCTGATACAAGCAGGAGTAGCTAGGAGTCTGAAATTCTAAAACGAAGTGAACCTTAGATCATAGCAGTTAATCAGGTAAAAAAACTGATTTCCCTTAATTTTGGTTCAATTTGTCTTGCCTCGCGATCGTACACTTAGGCATTCGTCGGCTTGGAGCGCGTTTCAAATGTAGTCAGCTTCTGCCTTGCCGAACCCAGTCGCGCTCACTGACTACTATACTCACGCGCAAAATGGTTCGCTGATTGTTCTGATACGCTATTTGATTTCAACTTAAGTGTCGTTTTACAGCCGTGTCAAACTCAATTTGTATGGTAAAAATGTATTAAAATATTTAGAAAGTAAATTTAAAAGTTTGGTGTTCAAACTGTTTATTGTTATTATTACTATTGTTATTTCTATGTTTTGTTTTCGATTCGACAACGGCTATACTTTATACGACGTCTGAATTAGAAACTGTCGCGCTGCAGTCGCGCTAACGTCGTACTATGGTCGAGCCAGCTTAGCAAGGAGGAAACAAAGGCGTTTGCAAACTTCGATTTGTCTAATGAAAACGCAGCCCTTTGAGTCCAATACCTCGTCAGAGGGCTCTCGGGAGACTAGGAAATGTCCCCAGTCGTCCCTCAGACTCCTATTAATATTGGCGCGAGCGAAGCGCGGTGAAGGAAAGTGCGGGGGATGATGGGAAGGAGGAAAGAGACTTCCTTTCCCCTTCCACCTTCCCATCGTCCCCTTTTCACCAGTGCCGTAATAGTCTCCCGCGACCTTTCTTTGACCGCTTACGTACAAGAGACGGCTGGGACGAGTCAGTGGTCAAATCAAGCTGGAGCCACACCCAGGCACGGTGTTTTTGATACGAGAATTCCTTCCTCGGGAATTTACCTTTCTGCGTCTACAGCTATCTACTGAGATATTCAGCTCTAGTTTTTAAATTAAACAAAACAGCTTTCTTCTTTGGAGATCAGTACAGTTACTGTGTAAAGCTTGCTCTATACCTCACAGTATCATCTTGGATCAGTGGAATTAAAACAATTAAAAGGTAGACGCTGCTGACTTCTTTTACAGTAGAAATGCTAGAACGCTAGGAACGTAAAAAACGAGCAGGAGTGTTTAAAAACTCGAGGCGAAGTCAAGAATTTTTCAACCTGATAATATATGACTGCGAGTTTTATGAACGGCTTCGAAATCTCTGATACAGATCAACTCATTCTTGCACTAATATTTAGATTTGGGGTTATTTTGGTCTAAAAAATTGGACTTAAAGTTTAACCGTGTCTTTATCAGATATAAAGACACTCAATAAACATTAATTTCTTTTGCTTTTTCTTTATGAATAATTAATGAGTTTTTAAAAATATTTAATAAGGGACTGGAAGTAACCATTAAAGCCAAGATAGAGCAAGAGCTTACTCAGGTAGCGGCTGGCAAACAGTCCAAACCACTAAAAGTAGTGAAGCCTGCAGCTGCGGGAGGTAAAAACAAGCCACCCAAGAAGAAGGGAGGAGGCAAAAAGAAGAAATAACTTCATCATTTGAAGCTGTGGCAGTGCAACAAGGATAAAACAAGATGCGTATTAGTAAGATTTGTCTTTCTATATCTATCTATTTCTTACCAGCAGATGTAGAATAGTATTGAACAACTTTTGTAACCAATTTTAACCTTTTTGTATGTCCCTCATAATATTACCTCATGAGGCAATGAGAATGAGAGGAATTCTTTACTGAGTTTTAACACTTGGAGAAAGTGTTTAATCACCCTAGCTGTATTTTTAAACTTGTTATTATGGTCCATTCTCTTCCTCAACAGTCGTAACACTGCTAAAACTACAGGCACCGGTTGTTGAAAAGTTGGATAGCGCTATCCACCGGATAAATCGCTATCCAGCGTATCCAGCGGATAAGTAATACGAAAAACAATTGCGTTATCCACTGGATAGTGATTTATTCAGTGGATAGCGCTGTCCATCGTTTGAACAACTGGAGCCAAATGTATAACGTTTTAGGTATAATCCTTATGGCCTAATGGGTGTTAATGCTAATTGGTAATTCCCAGTTTAACTAAAGACCATGCAAATGTATTTGTTAACTGACCATTAAATATCTTATCGATGAGTTCAAAAGATTGAACCAACGGTTGTTCACCTTCCCAATTATTTGTAAGCAGTAAAATGGACTCCGGAACTAAATGATAAGCTTCTCTGTTTTCGATTGTTATTATCATCATCATCGTCATCAGCATTATTATTACTATAATTATTATTAACCCACTTGCAACTAATAATTTCGCTGAAACGCGCCTTTTGATGCGAGCCAAGCCAATTTCTGTCTAGCCAAAAGGAAGTTTTCTGTTTAACCAAAAAAAACCCAAAGCTGCCCACAACATATCACTATGCTCCAGCTCCAGTTTTCCAGATGCAAAATTGTAGCTTTTAAAGTTTATGGGAATGCGCAAAAGGCAAATTTTCTTTTTTCCCCTGTTTTTTCTTTTGCCGCACGTATATTAGGCTTCATTTTGGTGGGAAAAGTTTCCGCCTAAATCCCGAAGATGGTGAAATTATTTGAAAGAACGTACCGGTCGGCGTATGTGGAATTTCGGATTTTCTGGTCGACGTTACGCGCCGGTTTTTTACAATTTTCTCTGGTTTGTTTAACTTAATCATGCTTATTCGGTTTGGAAGGTCTCTTCCCCCTGAACAAATTAGATTATCAAAGTTTTCTATGATTGTTACTAAGACTGGTGACGTCACAGGTAGTACAATGGACGAGGATTCCCACGGGAGGTTCAGGTGTTAGTTGGTTAATTCAGCCACATTAGCAGATTAGCTTTAGTTTTATTACGAGGATTATGGTGGGATTAGGAAGACGGAGTGTTTTATTTATTTATTTTATCTATTTTTTTTGTTACGAAAAAGTTTACAATGTTGTCAAACCCATGGGGGAAAACCGATGTCAGAGCGCGTCACGTCAATCACTCGATTCACTTGTAATATAACATTAACGTGGATCTTAAGTCTGATCAGAAGTGAATAACCAGTATTGATTGAAGGGGAGCGTTAGAGAGATAGCATACCATTCTGTAAATTTGGTTGTTGGGTTTTTGGATGCCTGACCGTAGGCATGAGCATTCGAATTTTTTTCTGTAAAATAACCGTTCGAATGACAAAAAATGCCTCCAAATCATTCTTTAGCTTGAGAAAAGACTAAGTTTTGAGTCAGGATAAAAGTTACATTCTTCTAAGATACTCGGTTTCATAAGTTTTTTTTTAATTTGGGAGGTTGTGTTTTTCACATTTTATTAATACCAAGATATTGCCCTATTATTATTGTTAAAAAATATTTCGGAAAAGATTCAAACGTTCCGTAGAATCTTCTATTTAAGGTGCGGCTACTCCATGTTCTGGAACTTTCGACCGGATCCAGCAGGGTAGCTAACAGTTTCAGATGAGATTAGCCACCTAAAAATTTCGAGACGGCCAGAATTCCCCAAAGACAGAACAGATAAATAGTATTTAGGGCAGCTACAAATTTACCAAACAGACTTCTAAAACATTCGGTCATTGGGTGCCCCGATTCTAGTACCATGAGCTGAAGATACATCATTTGCTCTGACTTTAATGTTGACTTCAGTTCATGAATTTGTAGAAATATAAGCGCAGGAATGATAAATTAAAGAATCAGAAAAAAGCGGAAATAATTGGCGCAAGAAAGAACGGGCTCCCTCGCTTGTCCGTTCTTTCTTGCGCTCATTTAATACTTCCAAGCGCCTGCAACGCAGGCTAAGGTCCCGAAGGGTAGTATAAAATTCAGAATGCACGCTATTTATTTTATGTTAAAGCCCATTTATTTAGTAACATAAAAGAGTCGCTCTAACATTGTTGTCACCTTGTGACAATAGTGAACATAATGTAAGCTGTAAATCCTATACCTTTCAAACAGATTTTCTGCGCAAACCTAAACTCCTGTCTCTAATAATCAAAATTTACTTCCGTTTGCTTACTGATTACCCCCGAAATATTACTCTGTTCATGGTTATCTTTAAAAGTGAAACAGAAACTCTGACCGTGCTGCTATTAAGCCTGTGGGGGAGGTACTTCTTCCACGTATATCCGGGATACTGAGTTCCAGCCTGTCTGAGCATCAGCAGATCCGTAACCAGCACAATTGCCCACCCAGAATCCCACGCGAACAGGACCCTTGTGGATTTTCTCACAGACTCCTTCGATGTGACGCACACGGTGCAAATTCTTTTTGGCGCTGTTTCCATATACCATGTAGACTATACCGTCAATGGCTGCTGGTGCTGAACACTCAGCACCGTTGAAAGTGAAATACCATCTCCTGCAGCAATCATGGCAGTTATGGAGACGAAGATTTCCATTCCAGAAGACCCGCAATCCAGTGGTATCTGATGTTTTCTTGAAAATGCATTCCTTTAAAATCGTCAGAAGAAGAAAGATCTGAACTAGGTGAACCGAAATTAAACATGCCCGTTTAATTGATTCATGACAGTCAGGAAAAACGGATCTGAAAGCCGTGTATATCACTCGCTGTATCAGTAAGAAATTTCTCCCTGGAAACATTTTAACCATGGATCAACAAGCAAACTCATTTTTGCAAAGAGGATTGCTGGAACTCCTCTCACTCTTTACTGGGTTATAGCTGGTTAATCTAGTTTTGTAATGATTTTACCCTTAACTGTAGTAGATAGCTTAGACCTCGGAACAATTAAGTAGTATAGAAGGCCATGACGTATTTCACTCAAATTCAGACCAAAAGATATACGTATATCTCAAACTGATCTTGAACTTGGACCTTTTTTACTGCATTTCGTATCATTCCATGAATAGTATATCTCGTACAAGTTTAGAAACACGCATCTTTTCCTGAAAGAACTTAACCAATGAGCGTTACAAGTAATTAGGCAAATTTCAAAGCCAGACTTCTTATTTTGCTTTGGTTTGATTTATAGAAACTAGCACAACCAACTCAGCAGTTACCTTAATCAATCCAGAGTCCCTTCCATCATTCAGATTCTTAAAAACGCAGTGTTTCCAATTACGACCAAATGATCCTGGAGCACCCTTTGGACCTAGGGGACCTTGACTTCCACGAGCACCTGTATCACCCTTGTTTCCAGGGGAACCAGCTGAACCTGCTTCACCTTTGTCCCCACGTGGACCTGCCGGGCCTGCAGGTCCTTTATCTCCTTTGACGCCTGGTGCTCCCGGTCTTCCACGAGCTCCTTCATCACCTTTGTTTCCTCGTGGGCCCATGGGTCCTTCAGGTCCATGATTACCGGGTGATCCCGCGACACCTGCTGGTCCCGCGGGTCCAGGGCTTCCTGGGATGCCTGGAATTCCTGGTGCACAGAAACACCCACCATGACCACAGGAACCATAAGATGAAGTCTGTTGAGGAATACTCTAAATGAAAAATTTAAAAATTCATGATCAATTGATTAAGTCAATCAATTAACCTTTAATAGTCAAGTATCCTTAAATAAAAACTCACCGTTCATTCATTCTACCTCACTAACTTCTTTCAGGTTAATAGTTCAGGTACCATTGACTGACTTTCACTTCTCATATATTAAAGCTATATATTACAATGTTTGATTAAACAAACTCACCTTGTCACGTGGCTTGCTGCTGTTGTTGTCATTTGCGGAACACAAGGTAATCAGCAGTAAGAGCAGCCCGCATAACACAATAGCCAGCGGTATCTTTATAAAGGTTTGCATGATGAGGAAACCTGTGAAAACAGGAGTACGCTCAAAATTATGGCCGAATATCTTTAAAAAGGCATCGGTTTCAATGATTTGCTAAAAAAAAAAAATTGAAAATGCAGATAACAAGCAACGCGAATTGATGATCTGTGGCGAAGTTACTATTTGTCTTGGAGAAAAAATATCAGTTTCGTCGGGTTTCATTCATCAATTTCAGGTCAGCTTTTAGCATTACTTGAAAACAATACTATGCCCTTGCAATTATATATGGGACTTACACGGACTCTTAAAACTTTTGGACATTTCGTTAAAGCGTTCGTTTAAGATTTAAGCACAACTAAACAAAACTAGTAGCAGTAAGCCCGTTACATTTAAATATTTCGTGAAAAGAAATAGTTCAAATTAAAACCACGTGAAAAGAACTCCAAGCTATTGTTTAATTAAACTGAGTATATTAGTTTGATATGAAAGATTGTTGGGAACATTGACTCAAGTCCTACCTTGCTTGTATGAACGACTGTACTGATCCGAAGAGGAATGATAATTTTTTCACCAGTACGAAGGTTTTTATGCCCTATTTAGACCAAGTTTACGTAAAAACGTGTTTGGGACAAGTTTGAAAGATTGTTAAATGTAAGTTACTAGAAGTATTCTTATTGGTTACATGTAAATCAGTCGGTCTTAATCGACGAATTGAAAAGAGTCATGTACTTCTTTTGTTTTATTTAAGTTGCAAGTTAAAACGAGTTGACGTTAAGCAATTATTTTGAAAACCGGCCAATGATGCGAACTATGTAAACTTCCTTTGAGATACACGTTGAACCAAGTTTGAACTGAGGGCACTGACGTGACAATTTAATAATATCAGCAAATATAATTTTTGGAAAACTATTTTGCATGCGACAGATTTGCCAATCAAAGTATTTATCAGTGTAACTGTTCTGAAGACGCTTTAGAGGCTATTCAGTAAAAACCGCGACTAAGAAGCTGCGTTTTCCCAAATTAGCCAAAACAGGTTCTTACATAAATGGAAATAACTACATTGTAGCTAAAAAAAAGAGTATTTAGTTGTGTTCAGCTTATCCTTCATGAAATCACCGGCATACCAATACATTCCAGTTGGATTGATAAATCACCTATGTCTCCAAACGGGATCCTGAATGTTGACTTTTTTATTTTCCGAGCGTACAAAATTTTTTTAAAACATTTTTAAATAAGAACCTGTTTTAAATTTTAGGCTAAACAGGTTCTTGTGTTGAGGGGGTTTTAACTGGCACAGACAGTGAAATTCCCGAAATATATCCTTGTTTCTTTCTCTCTTTTTTTAAATCTTAACTCTGACACTTTTGACTCCTTGAATTAGCTCAGTCAGTTCTGAAGAATTCTTTTTAGATTTTTGGCACAACTCAAAAAGAACTACTGCTACGCTTTTTTGATAGACTGAACATCATATATATGTTGAATGATTAACACACGGTAGCAAGCTTTAAATCACTAATTTGAAAAATCCGAAAAGTGTAAAGTGTGCAGCACTGTTCAAGTTAAGGATTTTTAACTGAATTCACTCTAGAGAGTGAAGCTAATACAACGAGAGGCTAAATTATTATCAGACTGCAAGACGCTTAATTTTGGGACGATTAATCAGTTTTAGAAGAATTGACCATTCTTATAATATTCGCCTTTTGACGAGTTCATTTCTAAAACATTTTCTAAAAAAGTCGACGGAGATGTTTTTCAAAACCTCGCACAGACACGGTTTAATTTATTATGAGGCATACAACTTACCTCTAAGATTTCCAGTTGCACCGCAGTTGTCTCAGTGGACAAATCAAAGGAATGCAGAGTAAGGGAAATAGGAAAATTGTGATTACTATGAATACGTAACGTATCTTTTAAAGAATCCACGGTTAAGTAAAAATATACAAACCTACCCTATTTTTGTTTTTAAGCCTTAATTCTTGTCTTGTCTTCGTTTTCCCGACTATTTTGTGATATTCATGCATCATCATTCTGTGCTCGCAGGAACAAGTTAAGAGGACATTGTATACCTATGTTCCAACGAGCAATGCTATTGGCTGTAGTGTTTTTTGTCAGTCAGTGATTCATCCAATAAAATGGCATCTTTTACTGCGAGCCACAGCATACATGAAGGGTAATCATGGATCTATTACCTCGGACTTGGAAAAAACAGAAGAAAACTGGAGTCCCTGTTTTTGTAATATTTAGTTTCTTAATTAACACTGATACTGCACTCTCGTCGGGTCTCTTTAAGACCGGAGGACGAATTCTCTGGGAGATTATTAAATTTAATATCTTTCTGAATTTTCATATGGCGTCGCAAATTAATGGGTGAAAACACTTTTCATACTGACGATGTGAAAACGAAATGAAAGATGCGAAAGTCGTGGAACTTCTAAGACTTCTAAATCTTATTACACGTTCGCTCTCACTCAAGATCTGCTTCATAAGTCACACGTAACCCGAAATCTCTCTTTAACAACCCATCTATTGAAGATTTTTCGAGCTCGATGATATATATTTGCTGTCCTTGTTTTTGGACGATTTTTCTTTTAATATTTCTTCAGATTCTGACCAGTTTATTTTTCGTCTTACCTGCTTACGTACCTCTTCTTGGTTAAGAACGCATATGTATTGGGATGATGGCGTGAGTAAAGCTGAGGGAAAAAGACTGCGAAAATGGATAGATTTTATGACGCGTGGCTCTTTTGTATCGATCGATCACTTTAATTTCTATTCCCGATCAGAGATTCTTTGTCGCTATTCGTCGAGTTTTGGAAACTGGGTTATATTTAATAGTTCAGTTTTTAATGACACTTTTCAGTATTTTATTTCTATTTTATCTTTGCTTGGACACATGATCAACTTCCTGATTGATATGTACTATGAAATTGTACATTTTTGTATTCCGAAGTTTAAAATTGAAAGTGTAAAATCGAAATGATATTGAAAGGAATCCGCAACTGATGCGAATGCGGTTTCTCACGGGCACCCAACGGACGGTTTTCTCCTAAATACATTGATAACACTTTTTAGGCAATCCAGAGTGCTTTTAGATGTCTAGAAATGATTTCTAAGTGCCGTTATAAAATTTAAATCTGTTCGGTCACCCTAGGGGAACTTGTGTATTTTCGAAATTGCAGGGGATTAAGCATTAATTTCCCGAAAATCTTAGATGCAGTTTGACGTATTACGAAAGTGAGACATTTTCTGATTTCTCAAGCTCCCCTTTGAATTTTTGAGTCCGAAAATTTTAGGTTTCCTTTTCTCCGCGAAAAATGGCATAACTTTGGAAGTGAAATGTGAAAATTAAACTTTAGAAAATCGTAGCGAATTTATTAGCTAAGTTTCGAAATATATATATATGAGTGAAATGGTCATCTAGAAAGTGTTAGCCGTCCAGCCCTCAAGTAATAGAAAATTCTAGGCAATATTTGCTTCTCCGAACAGATAATTCACAAAAAACAGTCGATAGGAGCTCCTGGTTTCTATGCGATTGCATTGAGAAATTTGTAGTTAAACTAGAAAAGAACCGACATTTTAGCCTCCGTCCAAGTTTTAACATGATAAAACTATTGAATACATACCCTCCAAATATCCGGCCATTTATCAAGGTTTCGTCTTCTAGGAGACAATTTATGAGTCAGCGTGAGCTGAGAGGAATTAACCTATTATGCAACTTCTTGTTGAACGGAACAAGGATTCTTTCAAGCCATCTTGCTTTACTGTTGTTCAGAGCGATCGGTAAAGTACAATAGAATCACGATTCTCGAACTCTCGGAGTCTTGAAATTCCCCATATTTTGAAGCAAACCTAGCTTCCCTTCACCAGCCAAACACTGTTTACCACCGATCTTCAAAATGCCGATAACTGGAACAAATTTCCTTTCCCATACAAAGTGGTTTGAAAAATCGCGATTCCAGTGAAGAGAAATTTCCACTTTGTTTTCTTTGCATGTATAAATAAGGAAAGAGAGGTTTTAGAAGAGTAATTGGGCTAGGGAAGGGAGGGTGGGGCAGTCAGAAGCAAAGGTGGGGTAACGGGTGGGGTGGGTGATGAGGGAATTTTTTTTTTCTTTGATCGATTTCTGTTTTATAGAAGCTTTATTATATCATGAAGAATGCAATTCTGAGAGAAGTCCAAGTTTTACGACTACGCCTGAACTGGATTGTACATAGTATATTTGGATTATTCAATATGTGTTTTTCTTTTTCTGACGCCAGTGAAATGCGCTCTTCTACGCATTCACTCGTCAGTTACGGCAAGTTTGTTTTCTGTTAGCGCGAAACACAAGTTCAAGTAACTTAAAAACGATACTAACAATTTCAAACAGGACCCTTTCTTAGACTTTAGACCAGCCAGTATACTTGTGTAATAAATTGTCGTCTCTGCCTGTCACGAGTGCTTTAGTGCATGGGTCTATAGTATTCTCAATGTAAACATGGCCAGTTCTTCACTTAAAGCCGTCTAAAAAAAATTCAAAACGCGATGCTGTGTTCGGTCTTCCTCTTTACTGAGTTTTGAAAATGTCATCTTCTAAGATAGTCACGGATACAAGGCATAACATGAATGAGTCGCGAGGTAGTTGAGCCCGGCTTTGTGCGAAGTTTTCGCATTTTACTAAAACATTCACTCAAAAAATCGGATGCGGAAATCATTGTCATGGTCTGTTTGTTTGAAAATTGAGCGTGTTGCTTGAATTGTTTACTTTGAAGTACTGATGTAAAATTTGCATTCCAGTAACATACACTGTAGGCAATAGGTTGCGTAATAAATAGCACCTTTCGACTACGTACTAGAAAAATGAAACTGTCTTGGCGGAAATATTTCTCTTGCCTACAGGATGTCTGCTTCTATCTTTGATACTAAAGTGTGGACCTCTTTCAGGGGCACCCAACGACAATTTTCGGAAGAATATCTGTTCGGAAGACGATTTGAGATCTAGAATTTTCTAAACATTTGTTGTAAAATTTCTTGCTTGCCCGTCTCTCCTAGGATTTTCGAACATCTAAAAAATGGTATAATTGCCTATTTTTAACGGGTTTTTACCCTAAAAAGGTCACCTAGAATTTTCGGGAGCCTTTTTTCTGGCTGAAATTTTCGAAAAGGTAAGTTTTGATCCCTATAATTTTCGGATCACTAGACTTTCAGCTAGAAAATCCGAACAGATGAAAAATTTTTAGGGGATGTAAATATGCCTATATCTACCGTTTAAATACTAAAATACGTTTAACAATGCTATGTTTAAGTGGTTTTGAACTATATTCTCGTTGGGTGCCCCTGCTCTTTTAGCCGACCAGAGTCTGGTCCAGTGCTCAAAATAAAGACTGTACTTTCAATTTGACAAATTCAATTGAAATCTTGAGCTTTGAGGTGATATTATAGGACCCTACTCTATTGACCATTAACCGAAACTGATATCCAGTTCCTCCATCTTAAAAAAATCCATCTAACTCTTAAACGTCTGATTCAAGCATGAATTTGTTAAAAATATAGTTCCATTATAATATTAACAGTGAAATTTTTAATGATTTATAATTACAAAGAAACTTCGCTGACAATTAGCTTAATTGTATTGATTGTATGATCGATACTTGTGATCAGACACTGTCAAAGGAGTCGAGACTAGAAGCTACTAGAAACGAAATGAACCTTAGGTGTTTATGTACGGTAGTAAATTAGGTAAAAAAACTGATTTCCCTTAATTTTGGTTCAACTCGTATTTCCTCGCGATCTTACACTTAGGCATTCCACTGCTTGGAGTGTGTTTCAAATGTAGTCAGCTACTGCCTTGCATGCCGAACTCAGTCGCGCTACTCACGCCCAGGAAGGAATACAGTTCACTCCCGATAACTCGAACCTCGCGCTATCTCGAACCAAAATAGATTCCCCCTGGATTTTCGTCATGTATTTACTGTAATTTTACCCTCGGAAACTCGAATCTCCCGCTAACTCGAAGTAGTTTTTGTTTCCCCTGAGGGGCATTTCTATGTAATTTTACCCTCGATAACTCGAACCATGGAGTTTTGAGCCCTTAAAACCTCAAAAAGTCGGGGAAAAAAGTCTAATGGCGTCCGAAACATTGAATTTTGAATTTCCCATTGACGTGTTGTAGGCATATTATAGTTTACTAGTGGAGGCTGATGTTGTTTGCCACAAATCTAACGTGAAACAGCTTTACTTCTCAAAACAGTAAAACGCATTCTCTAATTAGGCTATTTGTTACGTTACATTCTGATTTATAATCATGAAGAATCTTTCAATTTTCATTTGACATTTCTACAAGTAAACGTGATTAAATGGTTACTGTGCCGTAAAAACTGTTCTTTTCCTTACTACCGGATATTTTCTTCGAGCTCCCGAAAACTCGTTTTCCCTTGAGGGTTCGAGTTATCGGAGTCCACTGTAAGTAGAAATAAGTTACTGCCAACGAACAACGTCGCGAAGACGCGAGGATGCGAGGAGGCAGCCTAATAGAGCCGGTGCGCGAAAGTTTCAAGGCAGAAAGAATCTCGAATCGATGTAATTTTTTAGTAATTGTTTATATGCCGGATTCCCATATGAAAATGAAGGTGATGCTCGTCGTCACTTTGAGAGAAGAAATTTCAGATTTTGGTCTGATTCGATGCGATTATTTTTAACCCATAAAAAATTGCTGAGGGTTGTGCATAAAGATTAAGCTATATAAAAGTAGCAAATGCCGTCATAGTGTTGGAGTATTGGGGTCAAATCCTGACTCGTTTCCAGTTGTCTCTCAGTCTCCTATTAATATTAACGAGAGAAGTGCGGTGAAGGGAAGTGAGGGGGGTGATGGGAAGGAGGAAAGAGACTTCCTTTCCCCTTTCACCTTCCCATCGTCCCCTTCGTACCAGTGTCTAATAGTCTCCCGCAACCGTTCCTTGACCGCTTACAAAATAATAAGAGATGACTGGGGACGAGTTAGTGGTCAAATCAAGCTGGAGCCACACCCAATTGAAGGGCTTAACTTTAATTTTCCACGTACGGGCACGGTGTTTTTGTTATGACAATTCCCTTCCCCGAAATTTGTCTTTCTGGATCGACAGAGATATTCAGCTCTACTTTTCAAATTAAAAGAAACAGCTTTCTTCTTCAGAGGTAAGTATTGTTGCTATGTAAATCTTGCTCTTAATCTCATAGTATCATCCTGGATCAGTCGAATTAAAACAATAGGTGGAGGCTGCTGACTGCTTTTACAATTCAATTGCTAGAACGCCAGCTAGTTGAAACACTCACTGCAACTAAGGTGCTGTTTATTTATCTCAAATCCATCAAACAAGTTTTTTAGATAACAATTGGTCAAAAGGTGTCCCCTGATTGCTCTTTACCTAAATAAAAATAATGTTCTTGATGGAATTGTACTTTCGGCGGTATGTAATCTTGAAAGGTTCAGGTCGCAGTAGTTACAAAAGGGGGACAACGTTATGGTACTGGATAAGTATCTATCCAGTGGATGACGTAGTTGGTTTTCCTAATACTTATTAGGGATTTGAAACTAAAAACTGACGTTTAAAGTGTATAGGCATTGAAGGCATTGAAGGAAATCCTTTCTCTTGGTCTGACATCATCTTATAATGAAATCAAATGTTTTTTTTTTGTGACATTCGGATTTCCCCACTATGAGGAGTGGAGGGGCTGCTATTACTTTTATAAACTACTGAAGTACTTCCAAAACATGTACTACATTACGTAATGTATCTATCCAGAATAACTGCAAACGTATCGTAGGTTTTTAATGACTTTAATAGCACTAGAGCTGTAATCAAGGTAATAACACACACCTTACTGTATTTCCCCCTCACCCTTCGGGTCGCAGGCTCATTTTGTGGGGAGCAGTTAACCTCCTCTTCATATTCATTCCACTCGGGTGTGGCGATGTTAATAAGCACACTTTTATTTTTTCAAGAAAATATGCTACCTTTTGGCCCCAATCATGCAGCTACAACTGTATGAGATGAAAAAAATCAATATTTGGAAAGACCTCTCTCACTTTAACTTTTAATATTTCATAATTTGATGTGAACTGTTTAAAAAGAGAGCAGCAGTGTATTATCAGGTTTAAAAACTCGAGGCGAAGCCAAGAACTTTTCAACCTGCTAATACACGACTGCGAGTTTTTCGAACGGCTTCAAAAACTGATACAGATCAACTCATTCTTGCACTAATATTTAGATTTAGGGTTATTTTGGCTTAAAAAATTGGACGTAAAGTTTAGTCGTGTCTTTATCAGATATAAAGACACTCATTAAACATTAATTTCTGTTGCTTTTTTGGAAGTAACTGTTAAAGCCAATAGGGAGCAAGAGCTTACTAAGGTAGCAGTTGGCAAGCAGTCCAAACCACTAAAAGTAGTGAAGCTTGCTGCAATGAGAGGTAAAAACAAGCCACCCAACAAGAAGGGAGGTGGCAAAAAGAAGAAGTAACTTCATCATTTGAAATAGCAATGCAGCGAGTATAGAACAAGATGCATATTAGCATGATTTGTGTATTTAACATAATTTATATATCTATCTATTCCTTAGCAGCAGATGTAGCATAGTATTGAACAACTTTTGTAACCAATTTTAACATTTACTTTAACTGTATGTTCCTCATAATATTACCTCATGAGGTAAAGAGAGTGAGAGGAATTCTTTATTTAATGACCCTGGCTTTATTTTTAAACTTATTCCTATGGTCCATTCTCTTCCTCAATAGTCTTTGTAACACTACTAAAAGTACAGGCCCCAGTTGTTCAAAAGGTGGATAACGCTATCCACTGGATAAATCTCTATCCACTGAATAGCGCAATTGGTTTCCCTAACACTTATTCGTTTGATAGTGATTTATTCGGTGGATAGCGCTATCCAACTTTTGAACAACTGAGGCCTGATGTATAACTTTTCAGGTATAATCCTTGTGGCCTAATGGATGGTCATGGAAACTTTCTGGAAAAGTAAATTCCCAGTTTAACTAAAGACCTTGATACAAATGTATTTCTTAACCCTTTAAGTCCCAATATCCACATACAAATTCTCCAAACTGATATCCATACATTTCCTTGAAGAATTAGTTGAGAGAATTTGGTAAAAGATCAAATATTTTTCTCTTTGTGATCATTTTGTTAATTTTCATAGACTTTGCTCACGATAGTCTATGGATATCGTTAGGAGAAAATTGATTTTGAGCACTATTGACCATCATTATTGAGTTCAAAAGATTAAACTAAATCCACAGCAGTGTTCACCTTCCAAATTACCCGTATATTCAGCAATAAAATGGACTTCGGAACTAAATGATAAGCTTCTCCTTTTTCGATTGTTATTATCATCATTATCTTCATCATCGTCATCAGCATTATTTTTTATTATTAACCCATTTGCAATTGGGAATTTTGCTGAAACATCTCTTTTGATGCTAGCCAAGCCGTTTTCTGTCAAGCCAAAAGGAAGCTCTTCTGCTTAGCCAAAAAGACCCAAACATCCGTTTTTAAGGGCGGGACTATCAGGCTGCAGTTCCAGTGTTCCAGATGCTAAATTGTAGCATTTAAGGTTCGGGAATGCGCAAAAGTTACCGATCCAATATTACTTCAATAAGTCAAACGTTTTGATCTCTGATCAAACACTTTTCTTTTTCCCAAACAAAGGAATAAATTTACCTTAAGACTCAAATGTTACCACATCGGGCAAAAAATCCTTGACAGTCAAATTTTTCCCTCATTAAGCGAATAAGGTCAAGCAACAATTTGATTTCCTGAGTGAAGGTTTGGCATCCGCGGCGAAGTGGCTGTGACTAAACTTTTAGTGTTCTGAATTCAGCGTTATATTATCGCGGTCTTATTTCCGTAACCTTAGTTCTTCAGACGAGCTCAGTTTTAGCTCTTTACGCGTAAAATTATCAGTAGCATTTTAGAACAACAGTCCCACGGCCGCACTTTCAAAATGAAATTCGAGCCAAATTTCGGTTCGAAAGAGAAAATAATGCCTCGAAATCTTTCTCAAGCTCGGGAAAGGCTAGAATTTTGTGGATAAAAGTTAAATTCCTCTAAAATGTTCGGTTTCATACGATTTTTTCAATTTGGGAGTTTGCGTTTTTCACATTTTATTACCAAGATATTGCGCACGATTATTGTTTAAGAAGGTCTTCCAAATATTTCGGTAAAAATTCAGAACGTTCCGCAGTAGAATCTTCTATTTAAGGTGCGGCTACTCCATGTCCTCAAATTTACGATCGGCCCCATCAGGGTAGCTAACAGTTTCAGAGCAGATGAGACGAAAACGCCATCTCAAACTTTTGAGACGATTAAACTTCCCCTAAGACATCCAAACAGATAAATAGTATTTAGGGAACCTCCAAATTTACCAAACAGGGTCGGTCATTGAGTGCCCCTTTTTTGGTACCTTCAGCTGAAGATAACTTCTCTCTCTGAATTTGATGCTGACTTCTGTTACTTTATTGTAAAAAATATGCACAGAAAAATAATCTTAAATGATAAACCAAACTGAATCAGGAAGAAGATAACAAAGGGAAAATAAAGGTCGGGAAGGGTAGTAAAGTCATATTTCACGCAATTTATTTATTTTAAAGCCCTTTTATTTATTGAGATAACAAAGAGTCGCTCAAATATTGTTGTTATCTTGTAATATGTAATGTAACCTTCTGAAGCTTGAAACCCTGCACTTTCAAAAGAGATTTAATGCGAAAAAGTAAACCCCTGGCTCTAATAATCAAAATTTACTTCAGTTTGCTTACTGATTACCCCCGAAATATTACTCTGTTCATGATTATTGTTCAAAGTGAAACAAAAACTTTGGCTCTGCTGTTATTAAGCCTGTGGGGGAGGTACTTCTTCCACGTATATCCGGGACACTGAGTTCCAGCCTGTGTAAGCATCAGCAGATCCGTAACTAGCACAATTGCCGACCCAGAAGCCCACGCGAACAGTACCCTTGCGAATTTTCTCACAGACTCCCTCAATGTGACGTGGACGGTGTAAGTTCTTTTTCGCGCCATTTTCCATGTAGACTACACCGTCAATGGCACCTGGTGTGGAACACTCTGCACCGTTGAGAGTGAAATACCATCTCCTGCAGCATCCATGGCAGCCATAGAGACGAAGATTTCCATTCCAGAAGACTCGCAACCCTGTGGTATCGGATGTTTTCTTGAAAATGCATTCCTTTAAAATGGCCAAAAGAAGAAAGATCAGCGAGTTGAACCGAAATTCTTTTCCGTGTTTCATCAATACGCAATGTATTGTGGGATCGCCTGGAGGCAATCATTTCAAGAATGTTTCGAATTTCTCTCATTCCACCTCTCAAACTGTTGTATTTACCGTGTAAAAACAATTCGGAATAACAACGAGACAGACAGAAACAAATCTGCACAATACAAAGTCAAGCCACGACGCTACAAATGACTTTAAATTATGACAGAAAATCTATTTAAAAAAGTCCTACCAATTTCTCAAGTACGCACGTGCGTATTTGCGTTAAGGGCTCTACGCCACTGCGAATTCCACTCAAATTCAGACATATAATATACACATATTTTAAACTGATAAATTGGACCTTTTCCCTGCATTTTGTACCATTCCATGGATAGCTGGCACAAGTTCCGAAACACGCATTTTTTTTTCTCAAATGACTCGCCTCGAGTTTTAAACGTGAGAATACACGACTGCGTGTTTTTTGAACGGCTTCAAAATCTCTGATATAGATTGTTTACTCTTGCACTAATATTTAGATTTGGGGTCATTTTGGTCTAAACAATAGGACAAAGTTTAGCCTTGTCTTTATCAGATATAAAGACACTCATTAAACATAGTTTCTTTTGCTTTTTTCTTAATGAGTTATTTAAAATATGAGTTTTTTAAAATATTTAATAGGGGACTGGAAATAACTATTAAAGCCAAGACAGAGCAAGAACTTACTCAGGTAGCAGTTGGCAAGCAGTTCAAACCATGAATGAACAATGAGTTTTTGAATCGGTCATAACCAGACTTATTAATTTAACTCAGTTGTTACCTTTATCAATCCGGAGTCCCTTCCATCGTTCAGATTCTTAAAAACGCATTGTTTCCAATTACGACCAAACGATCCTGGAGCACCCTTGGGACCTGGGGGACCTTGACTTCCACGAGCACCTGTATCACCCTTGTTTCCAGGGGAACCAGCTGAACCTGAGGGTCCTTGAGGTCCCTTGGGACCAGGGGGACCTTGCTTTCCACGAGCACCTGTATCACCCTTGTTTCCAGGGGAACCAGCTGAACCTGCTTCACCTTTGTCCCCACGTGGACCTGCCGGGCCTGCAGGTCCTTTAACTCCTTTGACGCCTGGTGCTCCCGGTTTTCCACGAGCTCCCTCATCACCTTTGTTTCCTCGTGGGCCCATGGGTCCTTCAGGTCCATGATTACCGGGTGATCCCGCAACACCTGCTGGTCCCGCGGGTCCAGGGCTTCCTGGGATGCCTGGAATTCCTGGTGCACAGAAACACCCACCATGACAACAGGAACCATAAGGTGAAGTGTGTTGAGGAATACTCTGAATGAAAAATTTAAAAATTCGATTCCGTTATAAATTCATGATCAATTGATTAAGTCAATCAATCAACCTCAGTCAAGCATCCTTAAATGAAAAATCACCGTTTATTCATTCTACCTCACTAAGTTCTTTCAGGTTAATAGTTCAGGTACCATTGACTGACTTTTACTCCTCATATATTACACTATATATTACAATGTTTGATTAAAGAAACTCACCTTGTCACGTGGTTTGCTGCTGTTGTTGTCATTTGCAGAACACAAGGTAATCAGCAGTAAGAGCCGCCCGCATAACACAGTAGCCAGCGGTATCTTCATAAAGGTTTGCATGATGAGGAAACCTGTGAAAACAGGAAAACGCTCAAAATTATGGCCGAATATCTTTAAAAAGGCATCGGTTTCAATGATTTGCTGAAAAAAATTCAAACTGAAGATAACAAGCAACGCGAATTGATGATCTGTGGCGAAGTTACTATTTGTTTTGGAGAATAAAGATCAGTTTCATCAGGTTTTATTCATCGATTTCAGATCAGCTTTTAGCATTACTTGAAAACATTACCATGTCCTTGCAATTATATGTCGGACTTACACGGACGCTTAAAACGTTTGGACATTTCGTTGAAGCGTTCGTTTAAGATTTAAGCGCAACAAAACTAGGCTAGTAGCAGTGAGCTTTACATTAAATATTTCGTGAAAAGAAACAGTTCAAATTGAAACCACGTGAAAAGAACTCCAAGCTATCGTTTAATTAAACTGAGTATATTAGTTTGATATGAAAGATTGTTGGAAACATTGACTCAAGTCCTACCTTGCTTGTATGAACGACTGTAGTGATCCGAAGAGGAATGATAATTTTTTTGAAAGTACGAAGGTTTTTATGCCCTAGTTTGACCAAGTTTACGTAAAAACGTGTTTTGGACAAGTTTGAAAGATTGTTAAATGTAAGTTACTAGAAGTACTCTTATTGGTTACATGTAAATCAGTCGGTCTTAATTGACGAATATGAAAGAAGTCATGCACTCCTTTTGTTTTATTTAAGTTGCAAGTTAAAACGAGTTGGAAGGCTCCATGACGTTAAGCAATTATTTTTAAAACCGGCCAATGATAAGAACTGTTTTAAGCTTCCTTTGAGATACAAGTTGAACCAAGTTTGAAGGGCACTGACGTGTTAATTTGACGAATGAAGACAATCATTCATGTTCTCTGCACATGTACTTTTTGGAAAACTTTGCATGCGACAAATTTGCCATTCAAAATATTTATCAGTGTAACTTTTCCGAAGACGCTTTAGAGGTTATTCAGTAAAAACCAGCGACTAAGAACCTGCATTTTCCCAATTTCGCCTAAACAGGTTCTTACATAAATGGTAATTAGCACAAATTTAGGCTATTTAGGTTCTTAAATAGGTTCTTCTGATTATCTGAAAGAAAAACTACATTGTAGCTAAGAGTATTTAGTTGTATTCAGCTTATTCCTTACATAAAATCACTGCATACCAATACATTCCAGTTGGATTGATAAAGCACCTATGTCTCCAAACGGGATCCTGAATGTTGACTTTTTTATTTTTCAAACATACAAAATGTTTTTAAAACACTATTTTTAAATAAGAACCTGTTTCAAATTTTGGCTAAACAGGTTCTTGTCTAACTGGCCCAGGCATTGAACTTCCCGAAAGATATCCTCGTTTCTTTCTCTTTTTAGTTTTAATCTGACCTCTGACAATTTTGACTCCTTGAAGAAGCTCAGTCAATGCTGAAGAATGCCCCTTTAGATTTTTGGCACAACTGAAACGAACTACTGCAACGCTTTTTTGATAGACTGAACATCATATCTTGACTAATTAACATGATGCACGGTTGTTAGCTTGAAAACATATGAAAAATCCGAAAAAAATTCTCCTTAAGGTGTGCAAGCACTGTTCAACTGAAAAATTTTAAACTGAATTCACTCTCGAGAGTAAAGCTAATACAACGAGAGGCTAACCTATTATCAGACCACGAGAGGCTGAGTTTTTGGAGGATTCATCAGTCTAAAATATTCGCCTTTTGACGAGTTTATTTCTAAAACATTTCATTTTCTAAAAAAGTCGACGGAGATTTTTTCAAAACCTCACACCAACACGGTTTATTACGAGGCATTCAACTTACCTCTAAGATTTCCAGTTGCACCACAGTTGTGACTGCTAAGTAAGAGAAAATAGGAAAATTGTGATTAATACGTAAAATGTAACTTTTAAAGAATCCACGGCTAAGCAAAAATATACAAACCTACTCTGTTTTTGTTTATCTCTTAATTCTTGTCTTGTCTTCGTTTTCCCGACTATTTTGTGATATTCATGAACATCATTCTATGCGCGTAGGAACAGGTTAAGAGGACATTGTACCTATATGATCCAACGAGCAATGCTATTGGCTATAGTGTTTGTTTTGTCAGTCAGTGATTCATCCAATGAAATGGCATCTTTACTGCGAGCCACAGCATATATGAAGGGTAATCATAAATCTATTACCTCGGACTTGGAAAAAGGAGAAGAAAACTGGAATCCCTGTTTTTGTAATATTTAGTTTCTTAATTAACACTAATACTGCACTCTAATGGTCTCTTTACGACCGGAGGAAGAATTCTATTGGAGATTATTAAATTTAATATGATATCTTTCTGAATTTTCATATGGCGTCGTCACCAATCCAGAATTGGTTTGAGTCGCAAATTAATGGGGAAACACATTTTTCATACTGTCTATGTGAAAACGAAATGAAAGATGCGAAAGTCGTGGAACTAAGACTTCTAAATCTTATTACACGTTAGCTCTCACTCAAGATCTGCTTCATAAGTCACACGTAACCCGAAATCTCTCTTTAACAACCCATCCACTGAAGATTTTTCGTGCTCGATGATATATATTTGCTGTCCTTTTTTTTGGACGATTTTTCTTTTAATATTTCTTCAGTTTCTAACCCGTTCATTTTTCGTCTTACTTGGTTACGTACCTCTTCTTGGTTAAGAACGCAAATGTATTGGGATGATGGTTTGAGTAAACTGACTGAGGAAAAAAGACTGCGAAAATGTATAGATTTTATGGCGCATGGCTCTTTTTGTATCGATCGATCACTTTAATTTCTAGTCCCGATCAGAGATTCTTTGTCGCTATACGTCGAGGTTTGGAAACTGGGTTATATTTAATAGTTCAGTGTTTAACGACAGTTTTCAGTATTTTATTTCTACTTTATCTTTGCTTGGACACGTGATCAACTTAGTCCTGATTGATATGTGCTATGAAATTGTACATTTTTGTATTCCAAAATTTAAAATTGAAAGTGTAAAATCAAAATGATATTGAAAGCGGAATCAGCAACTGATACGAATGCGGTTTCGCACGGGCACCCAACGGACGGTTTCCTCCTAAATACATTGATAACACTTTTTAGGCAGTCCAGAGTACTTTTAGATGTCTAGACATGCATTCTAATTAAGTGGCGCTATAAAATTTGAATCTGTTCGGTCACCCTAGGGGAACTTGCGTATTTTCGAAATTACAGGCCGTATTAAGTATTAATTTCCCGAAAATCTTAGATGCAGTTTGACGTATTACGAAAGTGAGACATTTTCTGATTTCTCAAGCTCCCCTTTGAATTTTTGAGTCCGAAAATTTTAGGTTTCCTTTTCTCCACGAAAAATGGCATTACTTTGGAAGTGAAATGTGAAAATTAAACTTTAGAAAATCGTAGGGAATTTATTAGATAAGTTTCGAAAATTATATATGAGTGGAACGGTCATCTAGAAAGTGTTAGCCGTCCTCAAGTAATAGAAAATTCTGGGCAATATTTGCTTCTCCGAACAGATAATTCACAGAAAACAGTCGACAGGTGCTCCTGGTTTCTATGCGATTGCATTGAGAAATTTGTAGTAAAACTAGAAAAGGACCGACATTTTAGCCTCCGTCCAAGTTTTAACATGATAAAACTATTGAATACATACCTTCCAGAAATCCATTTATCAAGGTTTCATCTTCTAGGAGACAATTTATGGGTCAACCGTGAGCTCTTCACAACTGAGAGTCGACAAGGAATTAATCTATGATGCAACTTCCTTGTTGAGCGAAACAAGGATTCTTTCAAGCTATCTTGCTTTACTGTTGTTCAGAGCGATCGGTAATAACATCACGATTGTCGAAATCTCGGTGTCTTGAAATTGCCCATATTTTGAAGCAAACCTAGCTTCCCTTCAGCAGCCAAACACTGTTTACCCCCGATCTTCAAAATGCCGATAACTGGAATAGCCTAGAACTAAACTGGCTTTCCCATGCAGGGTGGTTTGAAAAATCGCGATTCCAGTGTAGAGAAATTTCCACTTTGTTTCCTTTGCATGTATAAATAAAAAAGAGAGGTTCCAGAAGAGTAATTGGGCTAGGGAAGGGAGGGTGGGGCGGTGAGAAGCAAAGGTGGGGTAACGGGTGGGGAGGGTGCTAAAGGAATTTTTTTTTCTTTGTTCGATTTCTGTTTTATAGAAGCTTTATTATATAATGAAGAATGCCATTCTGAGAGAAGTCCAAGTTTTACGACTAGGCCTGAACTGGATTGTACATAGTATATTTGGATTATTCAATATGTGTTTTCTTTTTCTGACGCCAGTGAAATGCGCTCTTCTAGGCATTCACTCCTCAGTTGCCGCAACTTTGCTTTCTGTTAGCGCGAAACACAAGTTCAAGAAACTTAATAACGATACTGACAATTTCAAACAGGACCCTTTGTTAAACTTTAAACCAGCCAGTATACTTGTGTAATAAATTGTCGTCTCTGTTGCTTGTCACGAGTGCTTTAGTGTGTCTATAGTATTCTCAATGTAAACATGGCGATTTCTCCACTTAAAGCCGTCTAAAAAATATTCAAAACGCGATGCTGTGTTCAGTCTTGCTCTTTACTGAGTTTTGAAAATTTCATCTTCTGAGATAGTCACGGATACAAGGGATAACATGAATGAGTCGCGAGGTAGTTGAGCCCGGCTTTGTACAAAGTTTTTGCATTTTACTAACATTTACTCAAAAAATCGGATGCGGAAATCATTGTCATGGTCTGTTTGTTTGAAAATTGAGCGTGTTGCTTGTTTAGTTTAAAGTAGTGATGTAAAATTTGCATTCTAGTAACATACACTGTAGGCAATACGTTGCATAATAAATAGCACCTTTCGACTTCGTACTAGAAAAATGAAACTGTTTTTGCGGAAATATTTCTCTTGCCTACAGGATGTCTGCTTCTATCTTTGATACTAAAGCGTGGACCTCTGTTAGCCGACTAGAGTCTGGTCCAGTGCTCAAAATAAAGACTGTA